GTGTGGCTGGAAGGGTGCCCACGCAGACCGGAAGGTGGAATTTGCCAGAAGACGATGGGGGTGCTTTTTTAGAGTCCGTCAGGAAGGAGAAACTGTAGCGAGAGAGACTGTGGTCCCTGCACAGCTACGTGTTTTAGCAAGTGCCGAATAAACCACGTGGCTGTGGTTGCCAACCAGCCGGCCTTTCTCTTGTGCTGGAGCTAATCTGAATCCTCTCTTTCGGCAGCGGGGCCTTTGGCCTATTCCTATTTTAAACAAGGCAGACAAGTTTATTATAATGGTTTGCAGACAGCCCCAATGTTTTCAAAGGTTTGTCAGTTTAAGGAATGCCATAGACTAAGTGCACCATGCGAAGCATAATTGAAATACTACACACACCAAATGGATTGCAAGCTTGGCTCTGACCATTTAGGATCAGAGCCACGGTGAATCGCCTTGCACTAAGAAGGCCTCCTGTTGGGTACAGGATCCTTATGGAAGAGTCACGAACAATGTTCACTCTAATTCCTGACATAACGTGGTGTGTGAAAAAAATATTTTATGTAGCGTTTCCCAAACCAAGTACAAACTTGTGCACCACCATACAAGTATACGAGTACGTTGCAAATACATGTAATAGCAACATGTTAAAATCTTTGTGTATTTCTTGGTTAAAGTATATAAGCCAGAAAGTATAATAGTATACATGCCTAAAAGTTGTGTCTCCAGGTTATAGATCACTCCCAGCAGCTGCCCTCTGCAGTTCTCTTGGCGGCCTTTTTCACACGTGTTTTGCCCATTCCTTCTTCCCAGGGCTGAGAGAGGGGGCTGCTTTGCGCCTGGGGGGACTAGAATTCACTCCCCCTGGTTTCTGGCCCGATGCCCTAACCATAGACCAAACTGGTTTTGCACATGCATGCTTACAATTATAATATAAACTCACTAGTCACTGATAATTGATAACTGCAATGTAAGCATTTAAAATTATTTCCTTTTGAGGGGGAGGGGAGAATTGAAATGAAAGATAATTAGAAAAAGAAAAGCATACAAAAAGCGTTTAGATAGCCTCCCCCCCCCCCATTTTTTCCTTCTTCTCTGGAGGTATTCTGAACTTATTTAAACTTTATTAGTAATTTAAAAATTGAAATTTGTATAAAGTTAGCAACAAACATGGACATTGCATGGCCTGCAACTCAACAGATATTAATTAAACCTTTTTTGGGGGGAAGGAGGGAGGTGCTCCTTTGTTTGCAGGCGGCTCTGGGGTCCCCCCAGTGGGCCTCTAGCTGGTCCCAGTCCACAGCAGGTCAGCTGCAACTGCAAGGCTGGCAAAGGAGCCTGTCTGTGGTCCCTGGCAAAAGGCTCCCCCAGGAGCCCCTGCTCAGTCCGTGCTGCAGCAGCGCCAAGCGACCCTCGTGCTGCAGTTAAGCCGAGGCAGTGAGGTTTTGCAGGACCCCTCGCGAGCCCTGAGTTTTATGGTGCCTAAATTGATGATAATGACGACGTAAATTAATTTTGTGTGTGCTCTACTTTTTACTGGTGGGCGGGTTGAGGAGTAGTGACACGAAAGAAACCCTTGGTGCCACTTTCTAGAACCTGACCAACTGCTATATTCTACCCAAGCTCACCATCTTCCTTCTCATTATAGAACCATCTTTCAACAAGGACCAACATCTGTTCACCCACATAAACTCCACACATGCCAGACTAAGCCTGCAAGGCTGGAACAATGGGGGCTGCCCCATTATAGCAATCGTCCTGGAGTACCGGCCCAAAAGCACATGGGTTTGGCAGAGCCTGCGGGCTAACTATTCAAGTGAAGTATTTCTGACAGATCTGCATGAAGCCACTTGGTATGAGCTGCGCATGAAAGCATGTAACAGTGCTGGCTGTGGCAACGAGACCCTGCAGTTCGCCACACTGGACTACGATGGCAGTGAGTGTGGATCGGGCATGGGAGGTTAGAAGCCCCAGTTGGCCACGGGCCAGGCTTTTTCAGGAGGTGCACAGATCGTGCTTTGACGCTTATTCTGCACAGGTACCATTCCACCTATTAAGTCGGCTCAAGGGGAAGGAGATGACGTCAAGAAACTTTTCACCATTGCTTGCCCTGTCATCTTGGCCACCCTTGGCATTGCGTTGCTCTTTGTTGTTCGAAAGAAGCGGAAGGAAAAGCGTCTGAAACGTTTGCGAGGTGAATGCAACCAGGAGAGAAATCCCCATGCCAGATGAGACTGGCACCCTGGTTTTCCCCACTAGAGTAAGGTTTGGACTGGGACCCTGCTACTGCCTATTTAGGTGGGGTTGGGGGGTGGAAAGAGAGATGCTGCAGGATAGAACCGCCCTTAAAGCTGGCAGAGTGGGCACGTGCTCCATTTCTCAGCAGTTGAGCTTCTCCATGAACTTAGGGCACAGATGAGACTGTTTCTGGAGTCTCTTTTCTTTAGCCTTAGCTTCTCCTAGAAAGGAGCCCCCAAGTCAAAGTGCCCGTGGTGACCTCCTGGCCCTGATTCAAGCGCCACAGGAGCAGCCGGGGCAGAGGACTGCTTCTGTTGACAGGCCTGACTCCATTTGGGCATCTCTGCTCTTTCCCTTGCAGATGCCAAGAGTTTGGCTGAAATGCTCATCAGGTGGGTAAGGTAACAGCATTCAAGTCTTGTTGGTTTAGCATTTGAATGTGGGATGGATACAGATGACCTTGAGCCCCAAATGCTCTTGTTCTTCTCTTTCACAGTAAGAATAATCGTAGTTTTGACACCCCAGTAAAGGGCCCTCCACAAGGCCCTCGGCTGCACATTGACATCCCCCGGGTTCAGCTGCTCATTGAGGACAAGGAGGGGATCAAGCAGATCGGTGAGCAGCTTCCCAAAACTTGCTCCTGCTTCCTGACACCCCAGTTCACAGGCCTGTCCTGGTCTGAGACTCAGGCCAGCGGTGTTGAGGTTACAGACATACTGTCCTCAGAGCTCACTCATTTGGAGTTTGTCCTTGTCTAGTTACTTTCCCCTGGGTCTGTGGATAGGGTTGCTCCTTCTTGCATATGTGACTACAGTCCTGTGTGGACCAGCCTCAACTGGGGTGAATTTCGTTTGGGACTCCTGGGCAAGCATTTCGGGGGAGGTCTCTGTGGCCAAGTGTGGGCGCTGGCCTTCTTCTCTACACCCTCCACCCCTAATAAGGCTGTACGAGCAGGAAAGTTACACCATCATCCAACTCTGTGGACTTCTCTTGCGGGAAGGGGCAAGGTAGAGGCTATTGCATCTCAAAAAGGAACTTTCTAGCAGTCCCAGGATAGGATGTCATTTTCCAAACTTATTTTCCACAGGAGATGATAAAGCAACAGTCCCAGTCTCTGATCCAGAATTCAATCAGACTGTCAACCCACAGAGCTTCTGCACAGGTGTTTCTCTACACCATCCAGCACTGATCCAGAACACGGGGCCTTTGATCGATATGTCTGACATCCGTCCTGGCACAAGTAAGCACTGCAGGCAATCCTCAACTGATATCCAACTCTGGACCCCACAGGAGAGAGGTCAGGGGCTGTAGCCCAAGCAGAGAAGCTTTAAATCAAGTGCCTCTGAAAGCAGAGAGGTCGCTGGACCTTGAAAAAGGGAAGTGCTCTCTGGGGGACTGTGTTGGCCCCACTTATAGCCAAATTATCTCTCTCTAGCTAAGGTTCTCACAGCAACCAGCTCTGATAAAAGAGGCTTTGGATCAAGTGGCTCTGTGAACCTAGACTGACAATACTGGAACAATGAGGTTCTGAGAACTTGACCATTTAACTGGAAAATGCCTTTTTTCCACAAAATAAACCTACTGTGGTTTGGCATGTGGCCAGACTGTTTGTGGCCAGCTTTTAGTGATTTCAGGTCCTGCCCAAGAAAAATCTGCAGGGGCTTATGAATGAGTAGGACAAGGCTGGTGCCTTCTCTCCCCTCCTATTCCGCATGGCCTGCGTGCCGGTGCCTGCTTCACCTCCCATGTGCCTTGCTTAGAACCACAGGTGGCACGCCCAGGAGCACGGGCTCCCTGCTCCACCCCCTAACTCTCCCATAGCTGCCCCTGTCCCACCTGACTGGCTCATCTACCCCTCTGCTTCACCTGCTCAGCACCTTCCCGTACCTTATCTTTGCATAGCTGATCCTCCCGTACACCGTCATCAGTGGTTTTGTACTTTCCCTGCTGTCTCCCGCTCTGCAGTGCCTCTGGCCAGAGTGTGGATCTTCTAGGTCCATGCCTGGCGAGACCTGTTTTGATCAGGGCATGGTCCATGTCACGGTCCATCTCACAGGCTCTGCATGACATGTTCAGTGCATGGAATGTTGTACACATCCCAGGGTGAGTATATCCAAAAGGAAAGGAAAAAAGGTCTGCAGATACAAAAACTCATTTTAAATACAAGGCATCACTGACTCCTAGGTCTGATGAAAACTAATAAAAATGAAGCTGTTGGTGAGAAACAACAGCAACCGCACGAGGCAGACTTCAGCCCAATCTCACAGGGTCCCACCTACATAGTTCTCATTTCTCCTTCTAATGCACAGATACAGCAGCCATCTTCTTTTGCAGATCCTGTTTCAAGGAAGAGTGTGAAATCTACACATAGCACCCGGAACAGATATTCTAGCCAGTGGACTCTCACCAAGTGCCAGGCCTCTACGCCAGCACGGACTCTTGCCTCTGACTGGAGAACTGTTGGCTCCCAGCATGGCATTACAGTGACTGAAAGTGACAGTTTCAGTGCTAGTTTGTCTCAGGATACAGGTGAGTTGAGTCATAGCTGCATAGCACATGACTTCCAAATACAGCTGGAATTTGTTTTGCCCTGTCACCCGAGAACTTTCAGGGATAAAAAATTGAGGCTCACCCCTCTTTGCCTATACCTTCCAGGGGTTTTATTTATTTATTACAATTTATATGCATACAGCCAAATTAGACTCTTAAATGGTTCTACAAAATAGTACATTCAATTAAAAACAATAACAAAAATTACATCATAAACCAGGCTACTTCTATTAATAGCTACCACCACCTTCTGTTCATCATCACAGCAAGGAAAGTCACTCACAGTAAGTCAATCTACTATTCCCTAAAGACTTTCCAAAATAACCAGGTCTAAATAGTTTTTCTGAACACCAGTAGCATTGTTGCTGATCTGACCTCGGATGCAGCACCAGGAGAAGAGCAGCAATGGAAAAGTTGGTACCTTATTGTGGGGTTGAAAGGGTATCCTTCCTGTTGGAGCTTAGTGAACAGATAAAAGCTTCTGGGATAGAAGCTCCTGGCATTGCAGGAGTTAAATCAAGAGGTGATGAAGGAATAAGTAGCTGTGAACAGATACTCCTAATCCAGGAATTGTTGTAACTGACATACAAGATGGAGTGGTGCAAAAACTCCCCTAGCCACAGCTGCCTCCTGCTACTTGAGCAAATGTTGCGAATCCAGGAGGACCTCTTATTTCTGAACCATTTCAGACTTAGGGGACATGACCCTGCCCAGAACAAAAGATGGGATATCGCTGATTTCCAATCTCACATCCACTCATATATTATCAGGATTGCTCCTGAGTTTGTTCCTGCCCAGATCTTCAGAAACTCCAGGCTTTGAGATAACACCTCAACCACATCTCCTCTGACTCCAGGGTCAGGAAGTATAAGAAATGTTTTCATGCATTCCCAGCTGCTTAAGCTTAACAAAGGAGAGTTGGAGTGCCATCAGCTGGCCTTGTGGTTGTCCTGACGGGTTTTGCGTTGTGTCCCTCTTTGTTCCCACAGACAAAGGCCGGAACAGCATGGTGTCCACAGAGAGTGCCTCATCTACTTACGAAGAGTTGGCACGGGCCTATGAGCATGCCAAGCTGGAGGAGCAGCTGCAGCATGCCAAGTTTGAAATCACCGAGTGCTTCATTTCTGACAGCTCCTCTGACCAGATGACCACTGGCACCAACGAGAATGCTGACAGCATGACTTCCATGAGCACTCCCTCAGAGCCAGGCATCTGCCGCTTCACAGCTTCTCCTCCCAAACCACAGGACAGTGACCGTGGCAAGGGTGTAGCTGTGCCTATCCCTCACCGAGCAAATAAAAGTGAGCTATGATGCAGCTGCTGCCTTTTGGTGCCCCAAATGAAGAGCACAGCCCCGATGCCATTGATTGCAGCTCTTCATGAGGCACCTCTAGACAGTCTTCCCATAACCTATTTGAATGAAACTGGATAATGGAGTGGGATGTTCTCTGTGCAGGAAACAGCCACACAGCCTCCAGGTTATGTAACTAGAGCTGGTCTGAGAGATTTATAAATGGATGATAACGCTTGCTCAAGTGGAGAGCTGGCGTGCTGAGGGGATGAGGAGCGGGGACGCTGTAGCTTGCCAGCTGAGTGGGCTGGATCTTTAGGCTACACTGGGTTTGCCTTTTCCCTGGAGGATTTGCTTGTTTTCAGGTGACTGGAAGAATTTTCCCCCTAGTCCTTTTGTCCCCTGTTTGTAATTGAATATCCTTGTGGCTATTCCTGGGCCTGCCTTCAGCATCTGTGCTTATCTTCTTTCTGCCTTCTACAGGTGACTACTGCAACCTGCCTTTGTATATGAAATCTGAAACGTTCTTCCGCAAGCCAGACCTTCAAGACCCTTGTCCTGCAGTGCCACCCCGGGAGGCCTCCATACGAAATCTGGCTCGGGCTTATCACACACAAGCCAGACACTTGACATTAGATGCCAGCAACAAAGCCTTGGCTGCACCCCATGCAAGCGCAGCCACCACCTTACCTCAGAGAACTCTTGCTGTGCCAGGCTCGGCCAGCGGTGCCCCTTCTGCTGCCCCCACTGCTGCTCCTGCCCCAGCCCCTGAACCAAGCCCAGGCCCTACTGCTGAGCCACGCTTGCCCACGCACAGCAAGATTGGGGGGTCCAAAGACTCACTACTAGAAATGAGCACGTCTGGCGTAGGGAGGTCGCAGAAGCAGGGAACTGGTGCCTACTCAAAATCCTATACGCTGGTGTAGCGATGGGTAGAAAGGACAGCAGAGATATGGCTCTTTCCCCAAGTTATTTATACTGAAATAAGTGGAGCACTTGTACAGAATGGATTTTTCTTTTTTGTATAAATGAAACTATTTTTCTCTTCTCCAGAACTCGAGGGGAAGTCACTGAGGGCTCAAAGCATTTGCAGGAATCTCTTTTATTGAAGAAGCCCTGCTGTTTTCAGTGTTGCGGAAGAGGGCGCTGAAATCTGATGGGGCATGCGCTCTCTCCAGTCCTCCTACTGCCCTAGTCACGCAACCTCTTGGTTTTGAAAAGACCCCTTTGGGACACTGCATGTTGTTTTACTGTTTGGTAAACCATGGGATTTGCTTCCAGTTGCATCTGCCTGTGTTAATACTTTTTTCTATTTTAAAAAAAAGCCAGCGCAGTGTGCAATAAAAGTTATGTTTCTATAACATGAGAGTCCTTTGTTTGGTGTAGGCTGATCTCTAAGAAGAAAAAGGAAGCAGGTGGCAGAGGCAACTTTGCCAGAACAGGTGCAGGAGGTGCATCCTGCAATTCTCATCCTGTTTTAACATGGATGAAGCTATTCTATGAAATGTCAGACATCAAGCAGATCATTATTTTATACATACATCTCTTAGACACCACAGCTATTTAAAAGCTAATGTCTAATATGACCTTTTAAAGTGCCATTTTCCTTTCCACAACATAGCAAATAAAATATGAATTGTCGGACAGGGAGCGACAGTAGACCACCATTTGTTTCTTACTAGCAAACAAATGCTTCCAGTTATAGAGGCCATCAAACGGCAAATAGGATTGGTTTTTAGTAGGGCAGATTCAGGTTGAGAGACAGCAGCTGGAGACTTTTCATCAGCTCCCCAGCTGGTGTGTGTGCAAGGACAGTTGTATCTTAGGGAAGAGGCGTTGGTGGGGAGTTTCAACCCAGGCTTTACTCTAGACTGTCCAGCAGTGGGTAGCAAGTTCACGTCTAGAGTTTTAGTGTTTCCTTCCTGTGCCGTATTTACTCTATGCTCTAGAAGTAATGATAAATGTAGCAGCCTGCTCCACTGGATCGCTGCTTGGCAAAATTTCTAGGCGCTCAGAAAGAAAACCATTCGCAGCAGGAGAGACCTTACTAGGGAAGAAGGACTACCCAGATGCACCAAGGTCGCTTCCTCTCAGCAGTGCGGGAGCAAGTACCGGATGGGTAGCCATGAGCAAGTCACCTAAGTTCCTATTACTGCCTCCTTCTCTGCTCACGTCTTAGCTGATTATTGTGAGGCACCAAGAATAGCAGTAGGGAAAAATCATTTGTTCAGGACATGTCTTGGAATGCCTACGAATAATTTTCTGCTATACTAGGGCAGAAGAGCAGGTAAGAGGAATGTGACCGGGGGGAATGTGGCCCGTGGAACAGCATTGGCATTGGCTGAAAGAATGTGGCTACAAGAGATGCTGGTGGGCAAATTTAGGGACTGACAAAGGAGAAACTAGTTCTCCCAGCCCCTTGCAGCACAGCAGTTAGCAGAATCTTCAAAGGAGTCAGTGATAAGTGCTCAGCTTGGCATGCTTCTCCCTCTGGTCTGTGAACACATCAATGCTATGCTAAAACACCCTTCTTTCCAAACATACCAAGAAACTAGAGTTATTAGAAAGCTCACACTGATCAGCTGTGGGGGCAGTGATTCCGAGGAGACCAAAAGGGAAGTGCAAAGACCCCCGTGTTTTGCTAAAAAACATCTGCGCCTCAAGGCTGCATTTCGGCACCCGTGGCTTGTAAGGAGTCACTGACATGTTCTCCCGTGTGCATTCAACTAATCCCTTTGCAGGGATTTTGGCCTTGAGAGCTCTTGGTCCTTATCATGGATTAGGGACAGCACATGTGAAATTATCCCAGAATCAACTTGTGGTTCCAAGTCCCAACTAAAAATTTTTCATTAAACTTGGAAATTGCTGTTGTAATAATATAGGTCAACAGAGATTTCACTGATACACGTAGAACGTGGATGCCACGTGTAATTGTTTACGGCAAGGCAGCCGCCCCCAAGAAGAGGTTTTGGTGTTAATGTAACTATAAATGTAACTATAAGCACCCCTGTGGCTTTTATCTTTCCATATGTTGATGCCATGCCCCTTTGCTGAGGCTTCTGGCTTCCATTCCCAGCAGACCTTTCCAGTTCTAGGAATTGTCTTCCATTACCTAAGTTCTTCAGGAAGACAGCTCTCCTTCTTCCTCAATCCCCTTTACTTGCCCCATTGCCCCATAACTGAAAGAATACTGTGTGTCTGAAGCTCTTGTGTCCACAACCTTCCTTAAAAAGGAACAGAAATGTATTCCCCTGTCTTGAGGCTGAGTTACACTGGGTAGGGGGGCTTGTGGACAAGGCAAGGCAATGACATTTCCTGGAACGTGCTGTGGCCAAGCTGGGAATAAAGCAAGAAAGCGATAACACAATGGCAGTAATGAGATGAGCATGAGACCAACCTGCCCAACTCACCAATATTTATCTCACAAAGGTGTCCTAAGGACTGTAGTATTTCAAAATACAGCACTAGAAGCTTCAAGGTCCCTGCTGAGGCTCCTTAATTTCCACAGGCAAACGCTGCCCCCAACATCTGGACAGCAATGCTGGTTTAAAGCCACTATGGTGTTGACCTCAGCCTGGAACTGATCAGAGATACTGAAGAAGACCCTCTAAGTGGTTTGGCCATGCACTTCTCTATCAGAACTTCTTTTTGACATAACAAGCAGCAGCACTAGGGCAAGGGACACAGCACATCTCAACTTAGCCAACTAGCCAGCCACATTGCAAGCTGCCAATGCTCCTCGCCTCCCTGAAGCTCCTGCAAGACATGGTGACAACCAGGCTGAGGACTGGGCTGGGCAAGCAAGCTGGTGGCATGGCAGTATAAGGACCTCAAGACTGGCATAACAGTTCGAAGTTCACAGCCTCCCAATCAATCAGCTTGCTTGTACTGCTGAGATGTGACATACAATGCTGTGCAACACTGTATTGACCTTGTGCAAACTTCTCAGAGTGATCTACTTCCTGGGAACTGAGGTGGGTGCTCAGTGCCTTGCCCTGCAATAGCTACAGCTAACTCCATCATTCCTGAACAACAAGAGGATGAAAGTAACAGCCTCCTCCCTCTGCATTTGATCAAAAAGAGACTGATTCACCATGATGTAGAGTGCAATCATCATGCTGCCAGCATGGTATGGAAAATCATAAAAGGTCTTCAGCAAAGACAGCACTCTTCAGGCTCACCAGCCACCTGCCTGGTGCTGCAGTAGGGCAAACTGTCACTGAACAGTTTAAAAAGGGAATAGGCCTGCCTGAAAACGTGCCATGTTTTGAAACTTCTAATCTTCATCTATGATGCCTGAGGTATGTCACATTCCAATGCCGCTCACTGACTAGTGTGCACCAACGGAAAGAGGGAAAGGGGAATGCAGGGATTAGGCATGGAGCAGAAGGCACAGGACTTCTACTCAGAATATAATACCTGGAGAACTAACCCCCATTTATATTTCCAATTACAAAAGGCCACCAGAAAAAGCTGGTTGAAGCTGATCGGCTGGGTATCCAGCAAGAGACAGATTTTCCTCTTGGCAATCTCCACTATGGCCTCTGCTTTGATTAGGGAACAGAGAAACTCATAAAATAAGGTCAGAGACTAGACAAAGCAATGTAAATGTGAGAGATGGCCCATTTCAGAACCTGTCTGGAAAGAAACTCTTCCTGACTGCAGCAAGGAAAAAGCAACAAAACCACCAAAGATGTAGAAAAGAGTACATTTAATCAGAATTTAAAAATACAGTTGATAGCTGAAGGATGCACACCACCAATCCTCTGCCGTAATATAAGTTTCAATAAAGGTCAATAAAACAAGTCCTTCCAGTCCTGGTATGAACTGAATTGTGCTGTGAGCAAGGACAGGAGAAAAGCTGCTCCAGGCCGCTTATAGGGAGAGATCTGTCCAGAGAAGCACCAGCCCCACAATGGAGAGGCCTGAGGCTGCTTAGAGCATCAGCACTTGGGGATGCTGCTCTTCTGTTGCCTGATTAGACACATGGTGATAATTGCTTGAAAAATAAGCCCAGTTTCAGAGGTCAGCAGTCCAGTTGAAAATGGGGGGGGGGGCGGTTTAAGAGAGGGGAGATTGTTGAGTAATTTAGCTTTCTTTTGGCAGCTTCATCAAAGGATATACCAAAAGTGGGTCAGAAAGAGCACAGTAGGCCACTGCCTGGTCTCATCTACCTAGTATCTCTGTTTAGCTTCTGGTGCTTCTGAGAGCACTGATGAATGTGTCCCATGAGTGCCATGGATACAGTGCCAGTGCTCCAGACTCAGCACACCAGTAGGTCAGGCACACCAGCCATTAGGAAAAGAACAGAATTAGAAACCGGGACCAGAAATGAACTTCCAGAATCCAGAAACCACCAGTGGAATTGGACATGCTCATGGCCTGCTTCAGCCTCTGCAAAGAAAGCTGATTTTGTACTTCATATTCCCAGCTGCTGCTGAAGACAAAACTGCCAGCCCCATCAGCAGTCGCACCTGAACTGGAGGTTCCATGGCGGGGAAGGTGACAACGGCTTCAGAAGAGAAAATTGAGCAAGCGATACGAGCTGTTTTCAGGGACGGGGGAGCCTCAGGCCTTCAGATGCATGTGTTTCAGATGGGCACTTTGCTTCTCTGGCTTCCTAGCTATGGAAAGACAACTTACTAGCCAGCTCTCTCCACTCAAAACCCACTTTTCTCTTTCACATTTGTGACATTTTCCTGGGATGGAAAATCTACAAAAAGGCTTGAATTAATTTCCCAGGAGAAATCTAGCTAAGAATCAATCTCTGACTGCAGCCCAAGAAAACATGTGGAGGCTGTTGGGTACAGGGATAATGTCATATATTGTTATTAGGCAGGTGGCTTGGCCTTTCACAGACAGGCAAATTTCCTGTCCATCTAGAAGTGGTAGACCTTGATTTGATTGTTCTCATCCAGCCCAAGCTGCACCAAACCAGAGCCACTGCTAGAGGAACGTGATGTACTTGCCAAGAGAGGGCTGGAAACTTGAGTGAAGGAAAAGCATAAGGACGTGGCAAAGGAAACTAGAAAGGTATGAATGTGCAGAAGCCTTTTAGCCGCAGCCACAACCGGAAGAGAACTCCTCTAGAAAGGGTTGTTCAACTTGGGCTTTCTACTACCATGCAACTGATCATAGACTGAGTTGGATGGATACATTTCATTAGGAGGATTCAGAGAATCAGGATTCATCTGATTCTCCAGAGAATCAGGATTCATCTGATTCTCCAGAGAATCAGGATTTACCTAAGCAAAAAAAGGGTCCACTAAATCACTCAGAAGTAAATCTCTCCCAATAGCTGAGGAGAAATTCAGAGAGAACTATGATCTGCATAGAAATGTAGAGTCCTCCCACCCACCCCACCTGCCCTGTTAGGGAAACAACAGTAGAGGCAGGAAAGTATGGAGAGGATGGAGACGTGGTGATAGAATGGTCTAGCTCCAATTACAGAAACCCCTGAATAAGATTCCAAACCAAATTCTTTGGTAGGGCTACCACACCTAATAGCCACTAGATGGCATCAAAAAGCCAGAGATTTCTGTGGCTTTTTGCTGACATCTAATGGTTGCCCAGATTTTTGCACCCCTAATAATGCAATCCCATGTACAATAGCTTACCTGGAAGCTATTTCTGCATTTTCACTCCTGCAAAGGCAAAGCAGCTGGTATTGATAGATAAAGGGGATATAACACATATGCGCCATTTATATTTTGTCATCCATTGTGTAATTTAAATAAACATAAATGCAAATTTCACATCTGGAAAAAGTAAGTAGACACATACATTGATCACTATCTCAAATACCTAAGATTGTAATCATGTGCAAGATTAGAACACTGTTAGAAAGGATCTGAGAGGAACCTGTCCTATTGAAACCTCAGATATTTAGCTTGATTTGCTCGTTGTTGCCATGCTAGGCGTGGTGTGTAGTATCATCACGCCTAGATCCAAAGAGCTCTCTGAGGCCTTCAGAAAGAAGGTTATAGATGCCTATGAGTCTGGGAAGGGATTTAAAAAGATCACCAAACAATTGGACATCAATCATTCCACTGTCCGGAAGATAATCTACAAGTGCAAAAGGTTTCAAACAATTGCCAACTTGCCTGGGCCAGGCTGTCCCAGGAAGTTTAGCCCAAGAACAGAATACAAGATACCAACAGAAGCAAATATGTGTAGCTCAGGGTTGAACTGTGGAGCCCTTGGGGTTCTCTGAACTTGGTTCATTACCCGGCCAGGTAATATCTTCAGCACCAAAGACGTTACCTAGCCGGGTAACGAAACGTTTGCAAGACAACAACCAAGTTCAGAGAACCCCAAGGACTCCACAGAATACAAGATGCTGAAAAAAGTCTCTAAGAACCCTGGAATTTCATCATGTGACCTACAGTTAGCTCCACCACTACTCATGTCAAAGCGTATGAGTCTACCATTAGAAAGATGCCGCACGAGTTAGAGCTACGTGGGAGGTGTGCCAGGAGGTATGCTGTACAGAAAGAACATCAGGGCAAGACTAAAGTTTGCTCACAAACACCTAAGCAAAACCCAGGACTTCCAGAACAATGTGCTCTGGACAGATGAGGCCAAAATAGAGTTATTTGGCCACAGTACCAGAAGATATGTTTGGCAAAAGCCAAAGACAGCATTTCACCAGAAGAACTTGATACCAACTGTAAAGCATGGTGGTGGAAATGTTACAGTTTGGCACTGCTTTACTGCATCAGGACCTGGCAGTTCACATCACAGAATCCACTATGAGTTCTTCATTGTACTAGAAGGTGCTTGAAAATAATGTAAGACCATCTGTCAGAGGCCTGAAGCTCAACCGAAGGTGGACCTTGCAACATGACAATGACCCTAAACCTTCAATAAATCCACCAAAGAATGGCTGAAAAAAACAGAAACAGAGGGTTCTGGAATGGCCACGTCAAAGCCCAGATCTAAATCCAATTGAGATGCTGTGGGGTGTATGCATAAAACCCCTCAAATACCACACAGCTGAGAAAATTCCGCATGGAGGAGTGGGAAAAAATTTCCCCCCAGTCAATGTCAAAGATTGATAGACAGTTTCTGTAAATATCTACTTGAGGTCGTTTCTGCCAAAGGGGGCAGTCCAGCTATTAGGGACAAGGGTGTAGTTATTCTTTCCAAAGAAGGAAATAGCATATCTTTAATTTTTTGTTGAGAAAATGATTGCAAAGTCAATTTTCATAGTTTTTTGGTTCAATTACATCACCTTTATCTTTATATACTGTTGGAGTGAAGATAAAATATTGATATATCTACATATGTTAAAAAAGAAAAAAAATTACATGGGGTGTGCTTACTTTTTCACAAGGGAAATGTGCATTTATGTTTGTTTAAATTACACAATGGAAGATAAAATGTAAATGATGCAAGTATGTTATATTTATCATATCGTATCATATCATATCATATCGTATCGTATCATATCGTATCATATGATATCATATCATGTCATATCCTTATCTATCAATATTGTTGAAATGAAGATCAAATATCTGTATGTTGAAATATGTTGAAAAAGTCAAAAATTTCAGTGGGGTGTACTTACTTTTTTACATGACTGTAGAACAAGGGCTGGGAGAGAAAGGGAAGGACAGGCAGCTTTGTTTTTCTACGGCTTAATGAAAAACTTGTTGATGAGCAAGTCTTTCTGACTTAAAATGAGAAGGGCAAGAAACTGTCCACCTAACAGACCAAGCCCACAGCTGGGCTGTAACTCTCCTCCCTCACCCACAGATACGAATTATAATGCAGGTCAGTTTTATTAGACCTGGCCACTATAGATACAGCTTATTGTTTTCAGCATCTCTGGATATGGATCTCAATGCCTTTTTGGGTGAGGGAACTTGCTGCAGTGGGAGGTATCTGTTAGTGGCCGTGGGGCTTAGAAAGAAGCCCGCCTGCACAAAAGGATACCCTTTGGAACTGTGCTTGAAACTCTCCAGCCATTTCTTATTGGCGTCAATCATGCTCTGGATGTTGGGCTTCTCAGTCTTGGAGCCCTGGAAAGGAAGATGCTGGAACAGGCAGACTTGCTCGCTGTTGGGAAGCAGGAGGGTGGGGAAAATCAACCAGGAAAAGCAGTCAAGCAGCAGACAAATTGGTTGCATTCATGCAGCAACCTTAATCAGGTCAGGTGAAGACCCAGCAGACACAAGGAGACCTATGGGGAGGATTTCTGCTCTTCTGAGAGGACTGTTGATGTCAGAACAAACTTAATTCTCTCTAGAGAATATCTTGCTGGTTTCCTCAGATATAAGGACATCCCTTCTCTCTCCTGAGCCAGAGGAGAGGTACTATAGCAAGTTGCAAAATGGCTACTCTACAACACACCCCAGGAGACAGATCTTGTTTTGTGCTAGCTGACCCAGTCAATACTGTAAGGCAAGACACAATGATCTCACCTGACATATCAGCTATGGATGTGAGAAGATACCTTACCCAGTGGTTAAGGAGTCCAGCTTGTCATCTTGGGCACCAAGCCCACCACAGGGCAATGGGAACTTCCCTGAACAGAAGAGACTACATTTACAAAATAACAAAGAACTTTCCATTATTAGAACCATAGGGAGACTAGAAACAAGTCCTATTTTTCATCCAGACATCAATCCACTCCAAGAGCCATATTACTTATTCCAAAGTTAGTCTCCAAGAGCTGGGTGGATTTGTCCTCGCAGCCTGCAGTCTTTTGCAGAGGGGTGTATTCAGATGCTTCCATCCCCCAAACTCCATGTTTGGAAACACAATTTAATTTTGGTCCAGGCACTGGGTGTTTCACAGAGTCCTATTAGGAAAGATCTTTCCAATGGATAAAAAGGCTTTCTTACTGTTATTGCATCATACAACCCAACTCAACCCTCATCCTTAAATCTAGATCAGAGGAGCTGGACTGCTGACTAGTCAATAAATAGAACAGACCTTCTAGGTAAAGAAATTCTCCACTTTCCATATAGTGGGAATCACTGCTATAAAAAGCTAAACAAACCAACAAACACAAATAAAATCTCTACTAAACAAGAGCATTAACAAATGCCAGCTTGCTGTTTTGCACTCCTTTTGAGGAAAAGGATTTTATGCCCATGGACCAAAGATGTAACTGATTCTTAAACACCCCTAACTTGTAGATCTCAAGTCAGCTCTTGAAGATAGTCTTATTTCTACCCTTACCCCATTGGTGATTAAAAGCAAAGGTGTTCATCTGAAGAAACAACTGTAAAGAAAATTCCCCATACTCTTGCAATATCTTGACGTCAGTCTTTCTCTTTGTGATGTCAGAAATTTAGATGGAATAAACTTCAAGGGGAGCTAATGTGATCACACAATTGCACTAGGCTCTAAATATAACCTACTACTGGGAATATTGCCTTTACAAAATGCTCAGGGCGCTTGAGGTAGAAAAACAAAGCAGCCAGAGGAGAAAACCTGAAGCATCCCCTTTGAAAGGGAACTACAAGTCTCAGGCAAGACAGACAGCCATGAGCCCAGTTCCCAGGGTAGCTGAAGATGCAATAGTAGGACAGGAGCTGGCAGGGTGGGGCAGGCAGGAGGAGAGCTTGGACATATATTATGAAATTCTACTTCTGGTCCCCCTTTCTTAACTCAACAGCCAGGGAGCTGGATCACTAGAAGTCTTGGGCTCAGATTGGTGCTTTTGAATGCCAGGTCTCTCTGAAACAAATTTGGTCTGGTCTGGGACTTCTGGGTGGAGAAAATGGCAGACTGAAGGCCTCAGGGGACAGCTGAATTCAGAATATTGTTTACTTTAAAGCACTTTTGAATTAAATAATCAAATAATACATGCCTCCATGAGGACGACTGTTTGCTAAACTTTGCCAAAGTTTGCTAAAGAGGATTGCTCCGTTTCCTTAAACAAAGAGGTAAGGGAAAGTTGTGAAAGATCACGTGACTATAGAACTACGGAGTGCCAAATGGGACTAAAGAGTTAAGGATATAGAGAAAGAGGGGGAAAAAAAAAAAAACTAACCCTAGCCCTTTTCTAAGTTACATAAAATGCATTCAAACATGCTGTAACTGAACAAAACCCACTGAGAGGCATCATGGTTACCACTGTTTAATAAATGTGGGAAGGTTAAAAAGCCCTTTGTCTGTTATGGGAGCATCTGAATGTCTTGAGATTTTAAAAGGAGCCTCTTGGCATATCAGGTAACAGAGCTAGGAGAAACTTGTGGGAATATTACAATACTGTGCAAAGGTTTTAGGCAGGCGTGAAAAATGCTGTAAAGTAAGAATGCTTT